AAGGTCGGCATAGCGTTGTGCTTCTACCCTACCCGCTCCTCAGTGGGTGAGGGTCGGCCAGAAGAAGTGAAACGCTTCCACCTGTTCGCTTTTAAGCTCGGAGGTGCAGTCGGATTGTATCCATATCACCAAAGCTCTGCTAGTGTTTAGCCTCGTGGAGAACGTAAACTAGACGCACATGTATTGTGTGTGTTACGTTCAGGGACAGCCGTATGGAACGGACAGCCCGGTGTCACAGAGTTGTTACAGGCAATCATAACGTTGACAATTGAGTTGTAAGTTCCCAATTATTGAGTTTTCTGCATCGAGTCATAATCATTCAAGAGAGAACTGTAATGCATCTAAGAATCTGTCCCCCCCCCCCCCCCCCCTGTTATATATCATTTACACAGGCTCACACCCATCATTTGTTTAGCCATGTTTCTAATACCTCACTCATTCATCCTCTTGTGGTTCTAGGTGGCCAACGGCTTGGTCCAAACCACTGGCTGGCCCAGTGTAGTGACCTGCATCAGCAACTGGTTTGGAAAAGGAAGGTACGGTCGAGTCATTCCGCAAGTCTTTTTATGCATCGTCTCAGGTGTTTGCTTTAAACAATGAGCGATCATTAAGACCCAGCACTGAAGCACGATGGGAAGATGGCGACCCTGTGTCTCTGAATATAATTCTACTGCTGCTTTAAGTCGATCTTACTTTGTTTTAGTGTTATTATTAAGTGATGCTTTTTAAAGGGGTTCTAGGTGCTACATCCTGCCACAAAGTACAACTGTTGATTCTGACAAGGATCTGATCTAGCACTGGTGAAAAATACTTAATAACTTAATAACTGACTTAATAACTGTTATCAATCTGACTAATGGTGAGACACCACAGGATCTCACTATCAGGTACTCGGTAACGAACACCCACACAGCACAAGACACACTGGATTCTCTTCACTTCACGTAGGTTTATATGCATCACACATATTACAAGCAAAGCAGCAAAGCAGAGTTGTTCCAGGATCAACTAACTTCACAATTGAAATGTACTCTTCATACTCTCACTCTGTCCCGGGTCTGGTAACTTATCGGCCCCTAGAGACCCTCCCCAGGTTCCTGTCTCCCTGTCGCTAGGCTCCTAAATAGACATGCAAAGACATGCACCACATCAGCAGTCTCCTGACCGTCATTCTCTGATTCTCACCCCTGGATATGCTGCTCTCACACGCAGGCCTCTGGGCCTCTGTGCTTACCAGCCTCATCCCAAGGGAACAGCCAAACATCCTTATTAACCTTCAGTGATGATTTGTACATCCAGTCTCCTAATGGATCCCTTGGTCGCCATGTATCACAGCCCTCTGTGTACTTATCTCCTGATGTTGTCTATACCCGTCATCAGTGGACGCTGCACTAATTGTTGTCTGACAGCTCTACAAAGAGTGAACTTTTCTTTACCTACGTATTTAAGGTTACCAGGTTAAGGCTACTAAAGGGCACATAGACTTTGCCTCTGTGATTTGAATAACATCTGACAGCAGCAGAAACCTCTATCAGGTTATAGATCTGACTGTACGTTGATGCACAGGTGCCACAGCCGAGCTCTACTTCACAGTGGGCTCTGATCGTGGACAGCGGTTAGCGTTGAAGTGAGCCCTCCCTGTCAGCGGCTGCTACCCTCCATATGTTGCTAACCTCTGGTTATGCACATATAGTTTTTGTACTGGCCTCCAGCCTTTTTATTTCTTTTCCCAGCCACCTCATCTATGACCTCACTGCCCTCTCCATCTGGCTGTGCCAGCTGCATCTAACTTGCTGGTAAAGTTGCAGAGTTGGAACAGAGAATATCTATGCTCAACAACCTATGCTGGAGAGTCTGATGCCACCGCTGCTTGTCCTGCAGCTGGTGCTGTCCCTCCTCCCTCCTCCCTCCTGACCTGAAGCTGTTCTCCCTCTCACCACTAGCCCCGGTCCTTCATAGCAGAGAAGGGAGGCGCTCCTCTTGTACCCCTCCTAACATCAAGTTTGAAAGCAGAGTTGACATCCTCAACCTGTATGACTTCCCTCCTTTTGTTCACTTTCCACCCGAAGAGAACCACACTGTACTGTATTTACAACGCTGTCCTGAAGAACATCATTGCTTTAAGACTTAGAAATATGGTTTACTGATCTCTTTAACAGGAATGCATTACCTTGGTACCTGCTTTCTCCTGCTGTGCTTCTCGTTGGTGGAATGAGATTCAGGGCTCCTTTTTAACCTGAGAACACTTTAGCTTCTGTTGAACCATGGATGTGTCTGCTCTGCCTCAGTGGAACGTACTCCTTCTACTGTTTCTGTGCTGGTTTGTATTTATGTTTGGAAAAGAATGATTTCAAATGATTGTATAACTTGTATTTTGATCTATTTTATTCTAACAGCCATCTTAAGAAAACAACTGGAGTATCATTTTAAGATAAAATCATTATTAAAGTTAACTTAAATCATTGTAATTAATATTTAATACATTCATCAGTTGAAATGACTTAATGACTTAGTTTATGAATTAGTTTTACACAATTATTGCACAAAATAAACAAACGTAACAGATCAATAATATCACAGTGGAGGAAGAAGCAAAAAGCTAACTGGGCTTATTTGAAGCCTCCACCTTTATAATATATAATATTAAAATGTCACAATATTACAGAGAAACAGCTGGATATTAACAAAAGTATTAAACCCAGAGGAGGATATACAGCCATCAAGGAGGAGGTTGTGAAAGTCACTAACACCCTGATGTCTCTCTGTCTCTCTCTGTCTGTCTCTCTCTCTCTCTCTGTCTGTCTGTCTGTCTCTCTCTGTCTGTCTCTGTCTGTCTCTCTCTCTCTGTCTGTCTCTCTGTCTCTCTGTCTGTCTGTCTCTCTGTCTGTCTGTCTGTCTGTCTGTCTCTCTGTCTG